TTCTTATGTATTTTGGGGGAAAAATTTCATTTTCCTTTTCTTCTGATATTTAAAAAATTCATCTATCTTTCAAGATGAACCAAAGTTTCTTAAACTAATTATAGCAAACACTTCATTCTTCATAAAACCTTCTATAATGCCTTGTTTGAATGTTAATCGTATGTGCTTTCTAAAATGTTGTGAACTACTAAACTTATGGATTATTGCTAGGCTATCAGGCATACATTAGTCTTTATCAGAATAAAATGAAATTAAATAACTGTGGCTATTACTTTGTCCTTGGTCCTTCACAGGGCCTGCTCCACCCCACCTTCCTTCCTGCTGCCTGATGTCTCAATGGCTTCTGAATGACTGTGTTCTAATAAAAGATCTTAAAACAGAAAAGCAGCAACAACAACAACAACAAAACAAAGTTGGACTAAAAGTTAAGGCTAAAAGTATGACAATAATCAGCACTATTAAAGGGAGTAGGGCAGAAAACAGCCATTGCTTCCAAGTTCCCATGGAAGTCCTAAAGATTCAATTTTGTCTGCCTAGGGAACGATGTTTTTAATATGTTCTAGGACCAAACTGGGCTGATTGATGTAGCCACAGCATTCTCCTTTTAGATACAGACATGTTCCTCCTTGTCTGGCATGAGAAGATTTAAGGTCCCTCGGTTTTGCAGGACTACAGCAGCCAGGGAGTCCAGCTGCTGTTGAAGACTCGTGAGGCCCTCTGCCGTTTGCTGGAGGGCCATTCGGTCTCCCAAGACAGTTTATGCTGGATTCCCAAGGCTCTGTCTCCCACAGCTGTCCCTGCTAATCCCAATAGAGAGGATGACACTAAACCCAAGGGAATAAGGGGTCCTGCTCGGCGGCGGCTCGCGCGATGTTGGTACATGGGAAAAGGGAGAGACACAGTAGCCCATGGGGGGTTAGATGGGGCGAGCTGTAAGTGATGGAACACTGTCCCTTCCAGAGTGCAGGGAGTCGTAGATACACTGGAGATCCACAACCCCCAAAACTCCGTGTGCTACAAAAGTATTTTTCATTAAAGTGGTGAAAGCAGTGGAGGTTCTATAAAAGAGGGTTTTCTATTTTCTGGCCTACGAGTGAAAGGTTTTGTGCAGCTGTGTTGGCAGTGCTCACTGGGTCCATCAGGGGATGGTAGAGTTGGATGGTGGTGTTAACAAGTTCTTTAAATAGGGTTCCCCTCTTAGGGTCCCACCACATTTAGTTTATTTTTTTATTATTATTTTTTTTTGAGACAGAGTCTTGCTCTGTTGTCCAGGCTGGAGTGCAGTGGCACGATCTCAGCTCACTTCAAGCTCTGCCTCGTGGGTTCACGCCATTCTCCTGCCTCAGCCTCCCAAGTAGCTGGGATTACAGGTGCCCGCCACCACGCCTGGCTAATTTTTTGTATTTTTTTTAGTAGAGACAGGGTTTCGCCGTGTTAGCCAGGATGGTCTCGATCTCCTGACCTTGTGATCCGCCCGCCTCGGCCTCCCAAAGTGCTGGGATTACAGGTGTGAGCCACCGTGCCCGGCCAAGTGTAGTTATCTTTAACAGGAAATGTTGATGGTCCCCAGAGGATATATTGAGATAGAGTGATTAAAGGCTTCCCATGTGAAGGCAGCCCCAGCAGAAACCCCGTCCTAGTTTTGTTGACAGGAAGTAGAGACCCTGCCAGTCAGGGAACAGGATAGAGCAGGAAATTGATTGCATGGGCGAGTTGTCCATTTATCAGTATAGTTCCTGCAGATGTGTGGACTAGATGGTGACCCAGTGACAAAGGTTCATCTACACTGACTCTCTTGGAGTTTTCCTGCAAAAGTGTTGGAACTGGCATGATTGCTGTAAAGGCAGAAGGGGAAATACTCCAGATAAAAGATACGCTAAGAAAGCATTTCTCCTTTTGGGACATTTGAACTACTGTTGATCGTTAAGAGAGGGAACTTAGGGAACCCATGACCCCATCCAATAAAATCCCTTTGTATTGACTGTTGGGGCTGCTATCCCCATCCTGCCGGCCAGTGAGTTTGCTCCTGGAGGTTTGCTGGGAGGCCAGAGTCTTCCACGGGCACAGGTCTGGCATATTCCCCGCGTTTGGTAGTCATGGAAAGCCAGCCAGGCTGAGTTATGTTTAATAGACTAACAGTATGGTTAATTGCTTCCCTAGCACACGGACCAGCATCTCTAAAAGCGCTTAGAGCACAGCAGGCGAGCACCAGAAAAGGAAGATGTTACTTGTCTTCTGGATCAGCCCCATCTGGGGTTGTTTTCTTGAACAGAAACTTCAGAGCCTCTTTGAGCTCTTGGGTGTAATGAGTGGCTTCCTCTGGTTTCTGTAAAGGTTTATTGCAAAGTTTAATTCTGGTCATGCGGGCCCAACTGGCGATTCCCTGCAGCTTTGCAGCCACTGGGGGTGGTTTGCAGCACTTCGTAAGGTCCGTTCCATTTAGGAAGAAGTTGATCTGCTGGGGAGCCTTCCTTCTAGGTTTTCAACAGGACCCAGCCTCCAGGCAGCACTTTGGGCTTCTGTTTCACTTGCCCAGGCGCGGGCAGCACCGTGTTTCCATATTCCTGGATGGCCAGCCGCACCTGGCCTAGATTTTGAATATATGCTATAATAGACTGAGTTTCAGGTTTGATTAACGCGTCTACGGTGAGGGAGGGTCTCCCATAAGTCATTTAAAAAAGACTAAGTTTCCTCTTCCCTTCGGGGACCGTTTGTATTCTCATGAATGCTGTAGACAACAGAGTATAGCAAGACCCAGAAATTTCCTGGCATAATTTTGCCAGGGTTTGCTTTAAAGTGTCACTGGTCCTTTCAAACCTTGCCGGAGGATTGCGGCCTCCATGAGGAGTGGAGATAATACTTAATTCCCAAAGCTCGAGCTCCCTGCTGGGTTCTAGTTGCAAGGAGTGGGAGAGGCCAAACCATGCCTTGGCCACTTCTGTAGCTTTCTCTGTTCTTGGGGGAGAGCTTCCACCCAACCGGTAAAGGTATTTAAAGCCTCGAAAGGAGGGCGTGGGGTGCGGTCAATCTGCCGGTCCTCAACAGGACGGGTTCCTGGGTTCAGTGACAGGCTGTCTTTGTTTGCCCCCAGGGTTATTTTGGGAGCAAAGTTCACAGGCCCGAGTGATTCTATTGTGGTTGCCAGGCCCTTGCCCATAAAGAGCTGGTCCACCCAGGTGGTCATGGTGTCCCGCCTCATATGGAGATAATCATGTACATTTTTTTTTTTTTTGAGACAGAGTCTCATTCTGTCACCCAGGCTGGAGTGCAGTGGCTCAGTCTTGGCTCACTGCAACCTCTGCTTCCCAGGTTCAAGTGATTCTCCTGCCTCAGCCTCCCGAGTAGCTGGAATTACAGGTGGGCGCCACCACGCCCAGCTAATTTTTGTATTTTTAGTAGAGATGGGGTTTCTCCATGTAGGCCAGGGTGGTCTAGAATTTCTGACCTCAAGTGATCCACTCGCTTCGACCTCCCAAAGTGCTGGGATTACAGGCGTGAGCCACTGTGCCTAGCTGGGAATCATGTAAACTTTTAACCATTTTCTACTGGTCGGGCTGAGGAAGCAAGAGCTTTTGACGTATGAGCCACTAACCCTCAGGTGTTAGAGTCCCCTGACTTTCTTTAGCTCATGCTTGTTTTGATGTTTTACTTATTGTTATTTTTGAGTCAGAGTCTCGCTCTGTCACCCAGACTGGAGTGCATGGTGCGATCTCGGGTCGATGCAACTTCTGCCTCCCGGGTTCAAGTGACTCTTCTGCCTCAGTCTCCCGAGTAGCTGGGATTACAGGTGTGTGCCATCACACCCTGCTAATTTTTGTATTTTTAGTAGAGACAGGGTTTCACCATGTTGGCTAGGCTGGTCTCGAACTCCTGACCTCAGGTGATCTGCTCGCCTTGGCCTCCTAAAGTGCTGGGATTACAGGCATGAGCCACCATGCCCAGCTGCTTGTTCTTTTGTAGTTAAGATGGATTTACATCAAGAGAATGGGCACAGGGGAACAAGGCCAGCTGGGCCACTGCTCCCGGAATTCCCTCTTAGCTTTCCTGTCAGCCCTTGCATTTCCCAATGTCACTGAGGAGTTTCCTCTTTGATGTCCCAGGCAGTGAAGGACTGCCACTTGCTCAGGCTCCTGTACAGCCTCTAAAACCTGCAGTGTTTATTTTGCATGTTTAATGGGGGATTTCCTTGCATTTAGAAGACCCATTTTCCAAGTAGCTGTGTGTGCGTGAGGGACAAGGAAGGTGCCCTTGGAGTTGGCGCACCTGTGAAGTGCCTTTCCGTGACCCTGAGCCAGGCCCTGGCGAGGGGACTCGCTCTGCTTTTTGTGCCGAGGTGCTAGGTGGCAGCATGGGCATCTGTTGTTTGCTGTAGACTCACCACAGCATGTCCTGCCCCTCTTTTTTTATTTTCCGTGCAACTACTTCCATCAGTGAGCCATTCAGCACCAGGATTCTAGAGGGTGCACCCCTGAGATCTATTCTATTGCAGAAGGCCTGGCCCGGGTTTCAACCCCGGAACGAGTTAGGCTGTCCCAGGAACAGGCTGGCATGAGAGGCTGGATTAAGGGTACCACAAGTTTTTATAGTAACCTTGAGGGAGTCCAGGAGGGTGCCTGATCACGGTGAGTCTTCCTCCCAAGAGCCAACATGGCCCTTTATTTCTAAAACTCCCTGCACCTGGAGGGGAGAGAGGACCTCGAAAGTGTGTCTGAAAGTCAGGTTTTGGGGCCGGGCGAGGTGGCTCACTCCTGTAATCCCAGCACTTTAGGAGGCCGAGACAGGTGGATCACTTGAGGTCAGGAGTTTGAGACCAGCTTGGCCAATGTGGTGAAACCCCGCGTCTACTAAAAATACAAAAATTAGCCAGATGTGGTGGTACACACCTGTAATTCCAGCTACTCAGGAGGCTGAGGCAGGAGAATCGCTTGAACACGGGAAGCGAAGGTTGCAGTGAGCTGAGATTGCACCACTGCACTCCAGCCTGGCGACAGAGCAAGATTCCGTCTCAAAAAAAAAAAAAAAAAAAAAAAGTCAGGTTTTGGGCTTCTTCTACTGGAATGGCAATGGCTGTGACTGCTCTAAGGCAGCCAGGCCACCTTCAGGGCGCAGAGTCCAGTTGCTTCGGAAAGGAGCCAACCAGATGAGGCGTTTCTCCCACAACTGAACGAGGTGTTCCTCCCACAACCAGACATGGTGTTTCTCCCAGTTTTGGGGGGACTCCTAGGGCTACTCTCCATTTCTCTACTACAGAAGGTGAGTTTTTGTTTTTTTGCTTCCATTGGATTCAATCATTTATTGATGTGAGTCCATAAATTAGATCATTTATGGGACGTGTGCCATAATGGTCCCCTCTCCATTTGGGACCTCCCATAAGGGGAGCAGTTTCTCTGGCCCTGGATGGTGTGATGTCCCAGTGCGAGTACCTCCAGCGGGGCAAGTCCCTATTGTACCTGCAAAGGAGAAGTATAAGGAGGGGGTGAAATGGGATTAGATTCCACAGGAGACTCTGATAGTGCAGGGGATGCTGGGGAGTCAGAAGGAGGTAAGGAGCCCTGAGAACCCCTATCTGGACTTGGAGTTGGGCCATGGGGCCTGGGGACCTTTCCCTTTAATTAAAGAGGGTCTTCGCATGGGTCTGGGGGGCTTTCTGGCTTACTGGAGTTTAGCCTGCAGCTGCTGCGTAGGTAGAGCTGGGTTCTGTTGTAAGGCCACACACGCTTGCTTATAGGGTACTCAGGACCATTGTCCCTGATTCCTACGGAAAGACAGAGCTGCAGGATGTCGATGAAGCTCACAGTTCCACTCTCTGACCACTTTTCATTGTCAGCTAACTCGTACCCAGGCCAAACAGTGTAACATAAGATGTCTTTTCCTTTTTAGCTCATCTACCCGAAAGGTGTTCCAATTTTTTTTTTTTTTGAGATGGAGTCTCGCTCTGTCGCCCAGGCTGGAGTGCAGTGGCCGGATCTCAGCTCACTGCAAGCTCCGCCTCCCGGGTTCACGCCATTCTCCCGCCTCAGCCTCCACAGTAGCTGGGACTACAAGTGCCCGCCACCTCGCCGGGCTAGTTTTTTTTTGTATTTCTTAATAGAGACGGGGTTTCACCGGGTTAGCCAGGATGGTCTCGATCTCCTGACCTCGTGATCCGCCCGTCTCGGCCTCCCAAAGTGCTGGGATTACAGGCTTGAGCCACCGTGCCCGGCCAGGTGTTCCAATTTTTTAAAGCTATGTCCCAGGGGCGGTCAGTGAGAGTAAAGGAAGTGGTTCCCATGGTGCCGAGATAAACCAGCAATGAAAAAAACAGATACCAAAGTCCAGGAGGTCACAGGTGTCCCTGAGCCAAGCTGGACCACGACAGGGTCTGGGACATCCCCTTGAATCCTCATGAAACCAGGGCCCTAGGAGGTCACGGGCATTTGGCATGCACTGTCCTGGGTCTCCTGGGTGCTGGAAGTCTCCAGGCCCGACTGAGGTGGCCCCCCCTGCTGGCTGGGAGGCCCGACATCTCACCAGCAAGCCTTTCCCTGCCTCACTCGTTGGCCATTGGTGATGCCCAATTACAATGCCTGGAATGCCTGATGCAATCCCTGTGGCCTGGCATCTACATGACTAAGCATCTTTTGTTCAGCAAAGAAAGCCAGTCGAAGGACTATCTGAAGGAGCTGGAAAATGCATAAGGTCTGGAGGGACAGGGCACTCTTAATGTGTCCCTCAAAACAGACTTTGGCCAGGCGCGGTGGCTCATGCCTGTAATCCCAACACTTTGAGAGGCCAAGGTGGATGGATCACTTGAGGTCAGCAGTTCAAGACCAGCCTGGCCAACATGGTGAAACCCCATCTCTACTACAAGTATAAAGAATTAGCTGGGCGTGGTGGCAGACCCCTGTAGTCCCAGCAACCCGGGAGGCTGAGGCAGGAGAGTTGCTTTAACCCAGGAGGCAGAGGTTGCTGTGAGCCGAGGTGGTGTCATTGCACTCCAGCCTGGGCAAAAGAGATTCCGTCAAAAAAAAAAAAAAAAAAAGAAAAAGAAAAAGAAAAGAAAAGAAAAAGAAAAGAAAGAAAAAAAAAAAAAAGAAAATTTTGTAAAACAGAAAACCCGATCAGACAATAAATCACAATGGCCACGAGGTGGCGGCCGAGTGCTACCAGAGGGACAGCAAACAGCTGCCTCTGAAACGAGGCCAGAAAGGTGTGAAATTAAGCAGCAAAACAGCCCAAATACTGAACGTTGAGAGCAACCCATGTGGTTAGGATAATGATGAGCGGTGCAGAGGCAGCCAGAGGACAGCAGCACATACATCCACAGAAAGGGTACAGGAAACCTTTCCCACAGCTTGACTGAAACAGCCCTGGGAAAAGCAGCAGCAGCCAACCAGGCAGCCTGGCACTGCCACGGTACCCGCCGCGGGGAAGGGAAACCGGAGTGAACCACGCGGACAAACCTCCATCCAAGTCACGGCACCAGAAACGGTGACGGCTGCTGGGAGGCCTCCATTCTTGTCTTCTTCGTTTAAAAGAATTTAAACAAGAGACACGCAGCCAAGGAGAAGCAGCACAGAGCAACGTATTGCAAAGGAGAAAGAATATTTTGAAAGTGCGACACAGAAGAGACAGGACGCCCTGAGAGAGAGGATTCAGGGCCGTCTGCTCGTAAGGGCGAGACAGCAGAGACTGGCACCAGGGAGGCTCCTCCGTGGGAGTCTTCCACGATTACTCACCGCGGGTGGGCAGAGGCGTTGCTAGGAAACATGTTGGGGGGGAGGGGGTCCTCTGGGTGCACATGCGCAGTACCTGCACCTGCTTGTTCATCAGTTGCGTGTCTCATTAGCATCTTAAATCTCCACCCAGGGGTGTGTTTTCTATTATAATGAGCAAAGGGTCAGTCTGAGGACAGGGAAAATCAAATATGCATGCTCTCTACTTGGGGAGGGGGGATTTCTCTCCTGGGGCTAGCTTTGCTTGGATGAGCTGGACCACAGCGCAAATGCAAAGCCTCACTGTGTTGACTGTACAGGGGCCACTGTGGCTGCATCCTAACGATATGGTCACTTCCTTGACTACCTATCCTGGCTCATAAGCAGAAGTCAAGCCCCTGGGCCAGGCGCCATGCCTCACGCCTGCAATCCCAGCACTTTGGGAAGCTGAGGCAGGCAGATAACAAGGTCAAGAGTTTGAGACCAGCCTGGCCAACACGGTGAAACCCCGTCTCTACTAAAAATACGAGAAAAAAAAAAAAAAACTGCGTGCGGTGGCAGGCGCCTGTAATCCCAGCTACTCCGGAGGCTGAAGCAGGAGAATCACTTGAACCCGGGAGGCAGAGATTGCAGTGAGCTGAGATGGCACCATTGCACTCCAGCCTGGG